ATGTGTGTGCATGTAATATCTATTTAATATTGATATATATATATACAGAATGCGACAATGGTCGAGCGTTTGTTTTGATCAGACAATAATCACTACAACAACAATCTTAAAACTCTGTTGCAGACTGCAAAAACAAAGGCACCACAAACGCTGCCTTAAAACAATACATATAGCTTTTTCTTTTATAAATAAGATTATTTTGTTCGCTATATAAATTTTTGTAATGTATAAACAAATGTATATATATAATATATATTTACATATTTATGAAAGATCTTAAAGTAAAAAATAAGTATTCAATGATCATTAGACTATAATAGTACTAGGCTATTAATGCCATACTACGATGTTTTTCAATGATAAGATTAACAAATTATAATAAAACTAATAATAACGCTTAAAAATGATAAGTTTTAAACGTATTAATTTAGTCGTATTTTTATAATAACTATTAAATAAATCGTTAGCGATCTTTTTAATAACTCTGTGAGATGCTTATTAAGTTCTACGTTGAAAAATATCGCAGTGTGTTACATTCGTGTATGATGAATCTTGAGAAAAAAATTCAGAAATTTCGTTTCTTAATTGCGACGAAATTCTCTGAAATTTAGTTTTCTATAATAATAATTGCGACGTGGTTTGTAACGCCTTCAATTTCACAGACCGCATTTGCAGTTTACGCTATATCATAAAACTACACACGACAAAAAAAACTCTTATCTAATTTACTATGCAAGTGTCGAGTGCAGTCAAAGTCCTATTGGCGACTCTGCCAATGATTATCATCATATTTCGTGATTACATCGAATTAAAGCGTCAGCATGCCCTAATCGAAAAAGCGCTATTATTTTATCTCGACATGCGAACGAACGCGTCTAAGAATAAAACTTGATTGACAAGTACGACGAAACTGTAAATTCTTATTTAGTTTCGATTGCACTGTGCAAAGTGCAAAAGTATATATTGTATTATCGATGATTTGAAAATGTGTCGTTCTAACATGTATGATATTTTTATTAACAGATAATATGAAACGAAGTATCGAAAAAAATAGCTATATTATGTTTGAACTTCGAAAAATGCAAAGTAAAATTGCTAATCATACAACAGAACGTAAAAAGCAACGGTTTCTTCCTTCCTTCATTCTTTTAATTGTTCTAATCATTAAATCTCATGTACTTTTTAAATTATTAATAGAAAAAATTTATGCAAGCTTATAAAATAAATATAATTAAATGGTTTTATATAAGTGCAATAGTAAATATACATCTTTTATACTTATTCATATTTAGCAAATCAAATTATAAAATTGTGATTTTTTTTTAAATTCATTACGTATAAATTTCGTTAGTAGAATTTCTCCTTTTGTACTTTTAATAAAATTTTTATAGATTATATAATAAAATCTTTTTTCTCCAAATTAAAACAATACACCCCTGTGCCTTTGTTGCATTAATTTGTTCTGGGGTTTACATTGTTATTGTGTATAAATCGAAATATTTCTTACAATTAAGAGTTTATCACAAAATCTATATGTCAGAAGATAATCGAACCGTTTCTTTTAACATTCACCCAGATTCACAATGACATTGCACAATTATGCAAGAAATATATAATTCGTACAACGTATGATGTACCAGTGATATATATGTATAGACGGTTATATATGTTTACTATACTCTACAATCGAAATGATCCAAACATTAATACGTTCTTCAATATGCGATAAATCGGAAAATTATCGATCATTTTAATATCTCATTATAGAATTCGACGTGTCATGGAAAATGTGAAATACGATTTCGCATCGATGAAAGAACGCTTAACGATATTGTAGTACAAATCAACAAGTCGGACGAAGAAAAGGCACCAATATTCATGCTTCCATAATGCGATTTTAACACTTTGAATTCACCGATTTAATGATACATTTCATAATTTATGTTTTGTAACTGTGATAATCTTATATCTACTTTACTGACTTTCTTTTCTCTCTTTAATATTATATATATGAATACTGTATAATTTAAATACATAATTTTTGTACAATAAAGTTTAATCGAAAATAAAATACGCAATGGTAGAGCGATAATATCGGATTCAAAGTGCTAAAATATCGTTCTAATGAAAGTGGCATAAGTACAAAATGTTTTGTGCTAACCGCAAGCCATTATTTGCTTCTCGTATAAGTATTCGTTCTGGTCGCCTCGCGCATATCGCATTCCAAATTTTCTATATAAAACTACTGTTTCATTTCTTTGAATGCTTGTTCGCTGCATTTTACTGTTGATTACACAAGACATACATCACTCTGCCACGTATGGCTTTCGTATAGAATAATTGACTAACTACTTATCATTAAGAAAAGGTACGTTGTCATCGCATTCAATTTTTCCTACATTTGAACACAATTACAAAGTTTGGAACATTTCAAATGTTGAGCGTTTCTCTCTTTTTTATATTATAATATATACATATATATAAATATATTTTACACATATATATATGTATACACATATAAACACCATTGCATATGTATATATATGTATACATGTATATATACATATAGATATGTTTATATATACATATATATGCATATATATTATTATATATGTATATGTTATGTAAGAATATTAATAAAAGAATATGTCCGAATGCAATATTGCTTAATTCTACATATATATATACTGTTTTATATATTATATATATATATATATATATATGCATATGATTTGTATATATATATATATAGAATATTTATAAACTTTTTATATTCCTATATAACAACAACATAATTCCTTTGAATAAGATTTAACAAATTGAACACAAAGGTTCCTACACTAGAGCAGATTATATTTAGTGAACGATGCTAATCGTGAAACGTGAAAGTTGTAGAATTACGTTATATAAAACGACCCATTTCACATCAACTTCTTTCGTCATAACGGAGGTACAACAATCTCGTTTCGCTGTAAACTGTTTTATCAGTTTATTATAATAGAAACTAAATTTTTTTTAGGTCGAATAAATATACATTTAATTTTCATTTAACGCTTTTTTAATGCTTAGTGTTATTTAAATAAGAAGAAAAAAAATAATTATATTATAAATCTATTTATAAAAAATATACATGTGTATAATATTTTATCTTTTGCTTAAAAACAATAATCAGTCTTAAGATACAAACATATAATATTTGTCGAAACGAAGTTGCAGCATCTCGAAATTATTGCGCGAAACAAAGTCGCAAAAAGATATTACAATAATAGCATCCTATATTTTTTGAAAAAATTATCATCTAGTGCAGTTTACTAAGAATTTTTTTATAACATACATTTAGATTAATCCTTATCATTCATATATAAAGACTATTGTGTATGTATGTATATATTCATCAACAGTATATATATATATGTATATATATATATATATATCAGCCTGTGTGATGAATGCAGCTACAATAATTCTACCATGCGATATTGAAAATGTAACATATTCTCCGATTATACCATATTACATATTAGAAATAATTATTTGACAGATTACTGTTTCTGCTATCCGTAATTAGTATAAAAATGCATCTCATGCTTCTTGTTAAAATTTTGTTGGAATTACACATATTTGCAATGTTATTTGTTCACGTAACAAAAATTGTTCCTTCGAGAAATATAGTTTATTCATTGCACAATATTAAATTAATTGCACAGTTTAGATTATACTTATTAAATTTTTGAGATCTTAAATCGAATACCAAAATTGAAAAATAACACGTTTTTAACAATAGAGTAAAAAGATAATTTACAGAATTTAAAAAAAAATTTATAATTTTAATTGCTATTTTATATTATATGAGAAAATTATTTTGTTAATTAAAAATTTATTTAAATTTCGATTAAATAACTTTCTCATAAATTTTTGACATATATATATATAGATATATATATATATAGATATATATATGCGTGTGTGTAAAAATAATTAAATAAAATATATTAAAAGTTGCGTAATGATATTATTAGCTGTACTTATATTATATAACCATCCTTACTTAGTTACATAAAAATATTTTGAAAATAGGAGCATCAATTATCAGTAAGTAATACCTATCTAAGTAGTTAAAAAGATATTAAGAAGAATGTGTGATTCAAAATTAATGTACTATGAATACGATAATAAAAATATCTCGAAGAAACAATCTTATAGAGTGAATAACAAATAAGAATTGCACTTTCGACGTTAATTCATTAACAATTAACATATTTACGCACAGCGTATATATATGTTATATGTATATATATATATATATTATATATATGTACAGATATACATATATAAAATATATAGATATAAAAAGTAGATAATACCAAGAAATACATAAAAACAAGAAATACGAATTCCTATCATCGATAAAGCCAACATATGTATAAATAAGTATATATATATGTTAGATTGATTTCATAAATTCTCTATAATATATATATATAAGGCCAAATGTACATTGACATGATATTACTATTGCATTAACGTTTTGTTTGTACGTGTTACCTTTATAAAAGAATCTAATACGCGAACAATGTAAAATTAAAACTAGTATATAATTTGTAAAAATAAATTCGACACGCTCGTCTTCGCGTCGAATATGACAAAAATAATATGTTTGTTTAACTGCACATGGCAGCGCAAATAAATTTTTATATCGTTGGCTCATTAATTTAACAAGTATTGATCATTGATAAAATCTCAATGACGGCAGTATCTTTATAAATAACGTATCGTGGATGTTTGTTTTTTCTAAACTTGAAAATTAATAGAATGCATTCGCGTTGCTACCCTCCGGAAATACGAAAAAGTAGAACGAATTTGTTCTCACATTTTGTTAAACGATATAATAACATATATATATATATATATATATATATAAAACATCGGATTAATAAATCAGAATATGTCAAAATTTTTTGAAATCACCTTTATCACTAACAACAATTATTTGTAATATATATATATATACACGAAGTAAAAGGTAACTTAACAATTTCCGCATTCTTTACGACAATGTATTATTAATATACAAATAAAATCTACTATAACGAATATTAGTCATATCGGAACAATCGGTTATTTATAGTCCAATTCAAATTAGACTAATATGGGATGAATAACTGAATTAATTTCGAGAATCTTGAAACGGATATTCTTCCGATGGAAAATAAAGCTCTAAAATCCATAAACTTTCGGCATGCACTAAAAAATGATTTTTCCATATGAAAAATATACTTTACTTAATCATCGCATGTACGATCTTTACACCATATGATCATAATCGTCCTTGTCTGATCTTATCAGGTACAAGCTTTCGAAAAGCCCTCATATCACTTACAATTAGTCATATATAAAGTCATAAATAAAGTATATTCTATTTCACACTTGCCTCTCCCAAGAAAATAACATCAAGTTTCAAAATTTTCGAAACTATTTTCCTTATTTTTCCCTTATTATTGGACTATTAACGCAAACAAAAAAATTACACATTGTCAATTTGATTATACAATTTCAAGAATTCACTAAGTTGACATAATTATAAACATGTATTATTGATCGATTTGCAACAATTAAAGAAACCAAGTAGATTCTCTCAATTTCTCGATATATTGTGTATTTTCCGAATAACATTTTGACTGAAGAAATAACCGTCATGTGATATGACATCTATTTCCATTTCACGCATTTTTGCTAATGCGTTCTACGTTATTTGAATTGCCACTAGTCTACCTTTCAAGCAACCTTGCATCCGGAGTTAAACATCTATTATTCCAATTTATCATTATATATACGTAACATGTAATAATGCAATATCTCTCGTCATAAAAAATCGTAAGCCTTAATCGTACTTCGAACAAGGTCATTTTTAATTACAGGATGGATAATTTTCGTCACTGTAAAACACGTTAAGAAACCTGTTTCCAATATATAAAAATTTATATATATATAATTCATATATTTATTCTACACACACATATATTCTATCTGCATACGTATATCGCGAATGTATTTTAACTAAAATCTTTTTAATCGTGAACATAAATCACAGCATAATATTTTACTTTAAGATGTAACAATAATAAGCATCTTCCATAAAACAAGCCTACATTCCATTATACTTTTTCTTTCGAAATAGTTTTTTTTTTTTTCAAGAAGAAACAGGTTTCCTAACTGTTTTCTCTGAAAGAGATTTACTTTATACCTTAAGAGTAGCTTTGGGAGACCAGTGATGGAAACGAGCGGGTCCTGCAGGATAAGAGGACGGGTGTACCCATTTATTCCCCCGATGTCCCATAAAGGGCGGCGGAGAAGGGCCACCAAGGAAATGCGGAGGCATTATATTGTACCAAGGCTGATTGATCGGATGAGGACCGTAAACCATGCTAAAGGAGTGGCCGAACCACGAACGATTTCTGTTCGGATGCAGTCTAGGACTATTCAAATTACGCCTCCTACCTGTACCGTTATTGCTATGCTGTTGATTTTGATTAACAGTGCTTAGTAATTTTGATTTCGGCTGTTGTTCTGTACTAATGCTTAAAGGGGATTTCTGTAACAAAAACATACAAAATTTATTTTTAAGTTATCATGTAGCTATGTATAGAAAATATAAAGAAAATATACATATAAGTAAAATATTATCATTCAATGTACGTTTCATAAATAAATTTTTCATCCACTCTATTCAAAATCTGTAACTATTAGATTATATTTACACTCTATAAGAAGTTCAATTTACCTGATACAAGACATTAATTGAATTAAAAATAATGACAATAGAAACACTCACCTGTATCTTGATGGATCCCTCGTGGTTTTCCTTGTTTTCCTTCTCTACGTTCTCTTTGTGTTCGCCTTGAAAGATAGGTACGGTGTTCTCCTTGTCCTCAAACGAAGCCAGTGTGCAGTACGATCCTTTGCTCTCACCGAATCGACAGCAGACCTCATTGGGGTCAACCCACAAAGTTAACTCCACGGGTAGGGCCAAATCTTCGTACTTAACTCCAGCAGCACTTGCTGCGCTCTCCAAGGTCGCATCTCGACGATTGTGGCCGTTGACACGAATACAACGATAGCCCTGGCCTTTGAACGGCTTGTCGGGGAACCAGTGGTTCTTAAAGCGTTCCATCAGCAGTTCGACCAAGTGCCGCTTGAAGCATTCCAATTGATCGGGACTAAATTTTTCGCTTTTTTCGATCAGCTTTACTAAGAACAGTACCGCCGCCCTGATCTCGTTGAGCATCTTGTCGTATGTCCGAATTACAGATTGATCGGCTGCACCTTTCGCGATACCACAGTAGCAAGCTCTTGGAAACTAAAGTACCATTTGCCCAAGTCACGGTGGAGCACATAGAGCCCTTCTGCACCGTAGCAATGCTTGAATTCTTCAAGATCTATGTTAGCGTGTATTGCTGGCGTCTTGCTAGCCCAAACTTGAAATAATTGTCTCGACCGTACAGTTTGTATGTTCCACTAATGCCGCTACAATCTATATATAAACAGAAAAAAAAACAATATCATCATTGTTATCAGTCATATTCTAGATATTTCGCTGCTCGAAATCTCGATTTCGAGTAGTTTAAAATTCGGGTTAATACAAGTAGAATAAAAACTGAAGAAAAACAATTGCCTCTTGATAATGCAAATTCTCGAGTGATAAGTAAAATATATAAACGCGTAGGATCAATGACCTCTTACTCAATTAAAAGGCTGATTTCATGCTTTAATCTCGATATCGCCAGAGTACTTCGGCACGCTGAAAAAAAAGAAACTAGAACGCCAAGCGCGTTCCACTTTTCAACAAGTCACCGCTTGAAAACACTGTGGTCTATACAAAGCACACAGTTGATTTGTTTATTTATTTTTCCTCGCTACCTGGACGAAACGTCAAAACGACGCGCGTTCGAGGTTGACAGATGTTACGCGACCCGGATAACAACCGGACGAATATAATCGTCTCTCCCAGTACAATATGTTATGCATGCACGCGTGAATCAGCTGAATAATAAAGTAAGGCAGGCAGGTTAGGCGAAGGAGAAAGTCTTGGGATTTCCGCGTGGAAATGGCTCGCATCGTTCGCTCCACGCTGCCGATCGAGCTAATTGCAAGCGATCTCCGGATCTCCGGCTGAAAGATCGGGAGCTCGTGCGAAACGTCAACGAGACGGCGACGAGTCATTTGTGCCAGCTCATTGCTGCCGTCCCGCGCATCCTGCCGAATCCGTGGCAGACTTTTTCCTCCATCATCGACGCGTTGGAGCGTTTCGATGCGAGTCGATCCGCGAATTTGACTGCTGTCAAGTGCGGTTAACGAAATATAAAGTCAATCTTACGAATCAGTGACGAAAATTCCCGTCTCTCTAACGTGTGCGCGAAACTCTACTACGTCTTCTTTCTCTTTAAATAAACGTACCCGAACCAACACGTGTTACGTTGCACCCCGTGATCGTGGAGTATAGAAAATTATGTAGATGTGCACACGTGTCGCGCGAGACGCGTGCTTTCTTGTGATTGGACCGAACGGGAACTCGCTCGACCAATCAACATGCGTCATTGTGATGCCGCCTTGAGACGTCAGTCTGTTCGTCTGGTTTGCGTTTTCTGGAGTAACAAGTTTTGAGAGATCAGCAGCAAACCTTTTGTAATTTTCAAGCTGATGTTGCATTTGCGTAAAAAATTTGTTCAATTGGTTATCGGATAAAGAATGATATAGAATTTTTAGAGTAATTATAATTCGATATTCAATACGTCTTGTGGCTTTTTATTCGAAATTTACGTCTAGCTCTCAGCTGAAACTCAACAAAACCACAGATTAATAGACAGATCGCCAAAGGTCTGGATGAAGGAGAGACCAGCATTTCTCACTGATTTCAGCGCCATATCGTAGTAGTGGTCAATGCAGTAACTATTAATACGTTCCCAAGATAAGAGCGTCTCATGCTCATGAACTCGTCCGGCGGCATGTACGAGATTTATCTTTTCGTAGCGTTCGCGTATTTCGGAAAGGACAGAATTTTATGATGTTATAAATAAATAAATAAATAAAATATTAACCTGACCTATTATAATTATTTTTTAATAAATGTTTCATTATTATTATCATCTAAGTCTAAGTCGTTTAATTAATTTTTAGTTTTTTAATAATTAATTTAATTTATTCTAATCATTTTAATATGTGAAAAATACTAATACGTATACGTTTTATAATGAATTAATATATTTCGAGAGTCGAATTATATATTTTTAATAATATAAAAGTGTTCAAAAATTATATTTGACTTTTAATTTTAATTATTTTAGCAAAGAGTTCCGAAATCTCTTACACACATAATAGGGATTTTGTTCATCCATATAATTCGCAATTAAGTATATATGTTAATTATTAATTTTAATAAAATACAAAATTAAAATTAAAGGTCAAATATAATTTTTGAACATAAATATATTTAATTCGTTATAAAACGTATACCCGTGATAGTATTTTTCTCGTACAAAAATAACTAGAATAAATTAAATTACTCATAAAAAAATAAAAAATAATTAAATAATTTATATTATATATGATAATAATAAAACATTTTATAAAAAAACAGATTCAATAAATATAAGTATATATATAACATGTACTTATATTTATTGAATCTGTTTTTTAATAAAATGTTTTATAAGCTTAGAAAACTTGACTTTGACGTAACTAGCAAATTTTATTTAATTATTTCACGACGGTTTGACGTAATAAAATGTTTTATTATTATTATATAAAATATAAGTTTAAATTCTTTAATTAATTTTTAATCTTTTATGATTAATTTAATTTACTCTAATTATTTTTGTACGAGAAAAATACTATCATGGGTATACGTTTTATAATTAATTTAATATATTTGTGTTTAAAAATTATATTTGACCTTTAATTTTAATTTTTATTTTATTAAAATTAATAATTAACATATATACTTAATTGCGAATTATATGGATGAAAAAAATCCCCATTATGTGTGTAAGAGATTTCGGAACTCTTTGCTAAAAAATAATTAAAATTAAAAGTCAAATATAATTTTTGAACACTTTTATATTATTAAGAATATATAATTCGGTTCCCGAAATATATTAATTCATTATAAAACGTATACGTGATATTATTTTTCTCATATAAAAATGACTAGAATAAATTAAATTAATTATTAAAAAACTAAAAAGTAATTAAACGACTTAGACTTAGATGATAATAATAATGAAACATTTTATTAAAAAAAGATTCAATAACTAGTAGGTCAGGTTATAATTTTTTATTTATTTATTTATAACATTATGAGCTATTAAGCTCATCATCTCGTTCGCTCTCTGTCTTGCTTTCATTCGGCAAGTCACAAACGATATATGATACTCGTATGTTCCTACTTCAACTCTCGAGAATCTGAAACAAACGAAACTCGTGTCCAATATACAGGGTGTCCGGTAACTAACAGACCAATGATTACAAATGGATTCTTTGGTCAATTTGGGAACGATTTTTCCTCAGCGAAAATGTCGAAAAAGGTCATCATTTTTTACAACTTTCCAATCTTTGTCATTATGTATCTTTATAACTAAGCCTTAAATTAAAATTTTATTATAGTAAACTCTACCTGAAATTAACTGAAGAATGTAATTATGTTAGACTTTTAACTCCAAAACGTTTAGTTTTCAAAAAACCTATTTTTTTCAATCGCTTATAACTCGAAAATTATTGACTTCTCAACATTTTTGCTAAGGAAAAATCGTCTCCAAATTGGCCAGAGAATCCGCCCTTAATCATTGGTCCGTTAGTTACCGGACACCCTGTATATATTATATAAAAGTGTATAGCACGTCAGAAGCTTGTGAGCTTACAGCGATAAGTAAAAACAATTGCGTATCTATTTCATTGCGTTTATCTGTTTAAACGCGCGCTTTAATTTTTCCAACGTTTTTGCCTGTTTATATTTTAAAGGTCCTCTCTTCTAAAAATCTTGTTTTAAAGATCCTCTCCGCGAGCAAAATTCGAAAACATAAATTATTTAATATTTTTACTTTATTATTTGTAAATCCTCGGTAATTTCAAAATTTTTCTATTTGAAAATTATTAATTTTCTATTGCCAATTAATTTTATCACAGACTTTACTCTTACTCCCATTGCACTTTCGTTTGCGGTTTTCAGTATACGATTTTTTATCGTAGTTACTGAAAATTATTATTGTGAATTATACTTGTGCAGTGATTTGAAGAATTTACAATTTCGTTGAAATTGTTGATTTTTCAAAAAAATTACGAGATTCGCGGAAATTGCGTGCTTTCTTGGCATTTTCCGTTCGCGGCAGGCGGTTTATTTTTGATTGTTGCAAGTGTTTTTGTTTTTTTTTTTTTTTTTAGATAATAATAATGTGAAATAAATCACGATATTTGACAGATGTGCATATATATAGAAATTGTAATAATAATAATATTATATCATAAAATTGTAAATTGTTTCAATTTTTTATAGACTGCGATAAAAGATTTTACATTTGGATAAGAAACTGCGGTAAGTAAAAATATAAAATTCTTGAAAACGTACCAAAAATATTTGATAACGTAAAAAGGTGAACTTTGAAAAATAAGGAACTTAAAAATTGCACTAATAAATGGGCTATATGTGAGCCGTGCGCGGATGTAAGGTGTGTTATATCGAAATTTAATTAATAGAATTGAGAATTAATCCCAATTTTAAGTCTTACAAATGTCCAAGCTAATTTTTTGTACCTCGTGTACATTTTTGAAAGTTATATCGAAAAATTAAATTTCAATATGCGTCTTACATCTCACATTTCGCATACGGCTCACATATAGCCTATTTATCTCTTATACTTTATTTCAACCCTTATAGAAATTTATTACTAGTAACGCCAATTTATCACTTATTTCGAGTAATTAATCACTTTTATTTCGAATACTTAAATTACTGTATATTATAGTATTTTAAATACTCAAAATAAGTGATTAATTGGCGTAGTGATAAATTTCTACAAGAGAATAAGGAGCCTTTAAATTCTTAATGTAAAAAATTTCAAGTAATTTTCTTTAATAAAATTTAATTAAAAAATTTAATTAAAAATTTTTGAACACTGTGTTATATCACATTTAAAATCGTGATTATTTCAATAAAAAAACATTTTATGTGTAAAAAATATATTTTTTATATTTAATAAATTTTATATATATATATGCATATATGTAAAATATTCTCTCTCTCTCTCTCTCTCTCTCTCTCTCTCTCACACACACACACACACACACACACACACACAACGGGGGCCAAATCTCTCAAATTGGTCTCATGATCAATTAGCCTGGATTCGCACCAGGGGCAAAGTCTGTTGGTAATGTCAAACGAATTTAGCCTGGACTTGCACCAGGGGCAAAGTCTTTTGGTCGAGTCTACGAAATTTAGCACGGACTCGAACCAGGGGCAAAGTCTTTTGGTTCAAGTCTACGAAATTTAGCACGGACTCGAACCAGGGGCAAAGTGTGTCGGTAAGGGGCAAAGTCTATCGCACGAAGATGGCGGTCTCTTCTTTAGGCAGGCCTTTGGCGATCTGTCTATTAATCTGTGACAAACATACATGTGGCACGTGGTTGAAATTTAACTTGATACTTGCATATTTGTGTTTTTGGAAAACATGCCTAGAAATTTGCCTAACATTTTAGTAACAGGTATATAATAGATACGTAATTATGATATGCATATATTTATAGTTCATTAAATCAAATCAGTTTGTGGCAAAAAATTATTCTCATCAGAAATCTACATATTCTTTATAGTTTGAAACTGATTCTATTATGTTGAAATAAATCTTTGACTTTTTACATAAATTTCATATAAGAGCTTCCACTGTTTTTGTTTCTCAAATTCTCATATTAATACTATAGCATATATTGGACATTGAAATACTAAATAAGTAAAAGTAAAAAGTAAAGGATGAAATTGAGTTAAAAAAATGAATAAATTTAAAGCTACTTGAAATAAAAGACTACTCTCTAAAATAAAGAACGGATGGTCACTATAGATAAGTGTCATTTATCAAATTTTATTAAGAGTATTGTGTTTTCTAGGCACACCTGGTGTTGGCAAGAGTGAAATGGCACATATGTTATCGGAGAAAACTGGACTAACATGGCTCGATGTTAGTCAACTAGCTATAGAGAATAAATGTGTAGATGAATATGATGAAGTATATCAATGCAGGACGTTAGATGAAGATAAGGTAATGATTTTTTCATATTACAATGATATACATCTTGCTATATTAATGTTTTTAACTGAAATAGATTGCAAAATATTATTTGTTGTAAATTCTGTATTATCTAAATTTTCTTGACATAACTAAGTGTATAGATTTTTGTATATTTTTATCTCTAGTTACTGGATGGAATGGAAAGTGCTATGAATGGAGGAGGAATAATTGTAGATTATCACAGTGCTGAACTTTTTCCTGAGAGATGGTTTGACATTGTATTTGTACTCAGAACAGACAATACTATCTTGTACGATCGTCTCGAGAAAAGGGGATACTCTGGAAAAAAATTGCAGGATAACATAGAATGCGAAATTTTTCAAACTATTCTTGAAGAAGCAAGGTCAGCCTACAGCAAAGAAATAGTACATGAACTGTTTAATGATACTTTTGAGCAGATGACAAATAATGTAGATAGAATATGTCAATTGCTGGAGCAATGGAAAATAAACAATCAGCAAACTTGAAAATATGTATATTTAAATTAGATTAATTATACTTTACATTATTTATTTATACTTTAATAACACTACTTAGTGCAAAATAAATTCATTGATTGGCAAAATTTATTTATATATACAAATTGTAGAATTTATTGCACTAAAGTCTGTACATATATATTACATATATAAAACACAATTTCTATATTATAAATAATATAATGTATTAAAAAAAATTATATAAAAACAAATTGGCTTTTTGTAAAAGATGTATCTATTCTACTATACCTAAGTCATGTTTCAGTCTTTTTAATTTATTGTTTATAGAATCGTAATATTTCATTCTTGTCAAGATTTTTGTTGCTGTTTCAATATCTTCCTTATTGAATGCTTCTGCCACTTGCCTATAAAAAAAATTGAGAAAAATATTAGGTATACTGAAGTATATACTAAAAACAAGCAGCATAGATTTAAAACTAAAAAAGATTACTTTGACAATGTATCAAGTACTTCCTTAGATTCTTTGGTCAACTGAAAGATTTTGTCTTTGTCTTCCATTGCATTTTCTATTTCCTCATTACGCTCCATAATTTCCATAAGAACTTCTGGATTCAAGTTGGTAGTTTCTTCTGATATTGATATACCTTTTAATTGTAACATATACAATCCTCTTTTTAATGGATGCATTAATGTACTATAAGCCTTATTTATTAGAGATGATAAATTCTCTGAGATTTGTCTTTCTTTCTGTAGATAATTAAAATAAATTTTATATTTTTATTTTTATTGCAAGATATATGAAAAGGACATTTTGATAATTGTAAATTAAGAAACTTGCCTCAGATTTATTACCAAATTTATCAGGATGCAACATTTTTTGCAACTCTCTATATTTTTGATGCACTTCCTCATTTATGACATTATAATTTTTTCTAATTCCCATGATGTCAAAGTAGTTCAAGTTCTGTGGTAATTCCTGCAACGCTTTGCACTTCGAGCAGAACAGCTCGGACTTGTATACATAATTACAGTTCCAACATTTAAGTGGATTATCGCTACAGAAACGCTGAGTTCCAAATAATAAGGTCATAGGGTGAATCGTGTTTCTCGACGATGCACCGTACGAATGCAGCTGACATTGCTGCTTAACTGGACTTACTGTTAACGTGAATTTTTTAATGGTTCTCATCAAAAACATCTTTTCACCAATATAATCTCATGTAATCTGTCATGTCATGTATGACAATTATTATCGCGCGATACGTACGCGAGCAAGGTGATTACTCGAATATCTTACTTCCGCCTCTCTCCCGATAAAACGCTATCAGACCGCGGAGCGCTAACACAAAGCTGTTTTAGGTTACATCGAGTCCAGTATGAAGCAGAACAGATGGTTCCTGTAGCAATTTACACCTATATCTGATTCGCAATATTATATCTGGATTCAAGGTCAGACGAGTAGGATTATGAATTCGACCAAGAGTCGCGGTCACGAGAAGAAAACGTGTCGCAGAATTTGACGTAAGCTAGAGTCGTGTGCGAGTGTCCCCGAGCTTCCTCGAGGCTCCCCTAAGTCCCCAGGAAAACGCAGCGAGATGGGGGACCATCGACAACAGCTGAGTAATTTAATCAAATGGTTGGGCACATTCGACCTTCAAGCACCGCATAACTCTGCGGAGAATATAAGCGATGGAGTCGCCCTGGCGGAGGCCCTGGCCCAGATTGCACCAGAGTGGTTCACCGCAGTATGGAAGGCGAAAATCAAGACAGACGTGGGTACCAACTGGCGTCTTAGAGTAAGCAATATGAAGAAGATCGTGGAGGCTGTAATGGAGTATTACATGGAGTGCTTGAACCAGCAACTGTCGGGCTACATCAAACCTGATGCGATCAAGATCGGGGAACATTGTGACAGCGACGAGCTGCGTCGTTTGTTACAGCTGATTCTTGGCTGCGCTGTCAATTGCGATCAAAAGCAGCAGTACATCACCAAGATCATGAGCATGGAGGAGACCGTGCAGCAAGCAATAATGCAGAGTATTCAGGAGCTTGATAGCAGCGTACACGGGCCAAGGATGAGCCTGGGCACTAGCTTGAACTTCGACGTGGCTGATGGTGCTCAGCAGAGACTCTATGCGGAGTTTCAGGCGACAGTGGATATGAAGGATCAATTGGCGCAAAAGTGTCACGAGCTTGATCAACAGCTTTCTCTGTTGCAGGAGGAGAAGGCTGCATTGATTGCGGAGAATAAGAAATTCCAGCAACGACTGGATGAGTTTGAGAATCCGGAGGAGTCTGGCTCTATATTAAAATATTCTGGATTGCGGAAGCAAGTGGAAACATTAAAGGATGAATTGTTTAAGATAGAAACATCCAGAGATGATTACAGATTAAGGGTGGAATTGTTTGAAAAGGAAGTGTTGGAGTTGCAGTCGAGACAGGAGGATTTGCAGAAAGCAGCTGACGAAGCAAATCATCTGAAGGACGAAGTGGATGCTTTGAGGGAGACTGCGGATAAAGTAGCAAAGTATGAAATCATGATAGAATCGTATAAGAAGAAGATGGAGGATTTGAGCGATCTTAAGAGACAGTTGAAGATATCAGAAGATAAAAACGTTGAATATTTACAAGCCAAATTGGACTATGAAGAAGAAGTAAAGCGTACGTTGATGTTGCGTAATCATTTGGAGGCATGTAAGCAGCAGCTCACAGAAGTTCATCATAGACTGGATGAGCAAAGCAACAAGTACGATCGACTGGAATTCGAAGGCAAGAAGATGGAAGCGAAGTTGGGTGCTTTGCAGAGGGAGAGGGATCGATTGTTCATCGAAAGAGACGCTTTGAAGGAGACAAATGAGGAGTTGAAGTGCACGCAATTGCAAACTGCTGAGAACATGGCGAAACCTAGTACTGATAGTACCGATGTTGCCGGCACGGAATTGATTCCGCTCGACATTAAGGAGAAATTACTTCGTTTACAATTGGAGAATAAGATGTTGAAGATGAAGCAGACAGGCAACGAAGACAAGCTACCGAGTGTGCAAGCGTTGCTGGAAGAGTCTGAGGAACGTTTAAATATGTTGCGAGGGCAGAATCGCAAGGCGAACCAGAGGATAATGGAATTGGAAACCAAATTGGAGGAAATCATGGGTACTCAAGCTAGCGGCGACAGCAAGACCGACAACATGGGTTTGAATCCGAAGATGTTGCAATTGCAAGACGAACTGCGAAAAACGCAGTCCGAAAAGGATCGACTGACACTACAGCTCGAGGAACGTGAGAGCGCTCTGCAAGCACAAAAGCAGAAAGTCTTCGCTGTTCAAGAGAAACTGACACGGAAGGAATTCGAAAACGCCGCTCTCGAGGAACGCTATAAAAAGTACATTGAGAAAGCCAAGAGCGTTATAAAGAGCCTAGATCCGAAGCAGAGTAATTCTTCACCGAGCGAGGTGGCTGTGTTGCGCAACCAATTGCTGGAACAGCGCAAGATAATCGAGAACATGGAGCGTTCCATGAAGGAGTCCAAGTTGCTGCGAGAGATGGAAGAGAAGCTAATGGTGACTGCTTTTCATAGATTAGGTCTGAATTGCCACAGAGAGGTGATAGATCAACGGCTCGCGGCGCTTAGTTCAGGACAGGGTCAATCCTTCTTAGCCAGACAGAGGCAACCTACGGCAAGACGCCATCCACCTTATAACTCGAAATGAGAAGAGCGAATCGATTTCATACTTAAGTATTATAAAATTAGGTGGTATTTAATTATTTGAGGCAATTAATTATAATTATTGTCAGCAATAATAGTGTGATAAATGTGATACTGCACACATGTTGCATTTTAATGTACAAACTTAACAGTCAAGCTTATTAAACAATGATGACTGTGAATATAACATTCAACACAATTAATATCTATTATCATAATAATATTTATATATATATTATTAAGATATCACATTTATCTCTCTATTACAATTATCACAAATAATTCTATTTTTTTCCGATATAGATATAAATGATTAATGTTAAAACAAAGGCAAAAAAATTAGACATTTACTTTTTAATAAAAAAAAATAATAATTTATATGAAGCCTAATAGAGAATCTACATAAAAAGAATATCATGTATACTTAAATGAAGAGTTAATTCCTCTATTTAAATCATTTGTAGATGTGTTCAGCCAATTTTTCTGTCTTCCTGCAAAATTATTAAACACAGATATTTAATTTCGACACTTGATCCTGCTTGATCTCATAATTTCGATTCTCAGCCAAACATTTGTGATGATTTTCTAGCTATTAGAGATGTGCCAATGTATATGTTCCTGTATCTTTAATGAGTACATAAGTAAAAAATAATTGCACGAAAATATCTCCATCAGCTAGAAAAACGAATTAAAATTACATATTTTTAAATTGTATTGCCATCTATATCGGAAATGTTTACCATTATACTTATTTTGATTGAGCTCAAAACAAAAAATATATTAAATAAATAAATTGTAAATAAGAGAGATTTTATATATACTTATATATATTGTAGATGGAATATACATTGCTTTGCAGTACACTAATAATGGATATTGCGCAACACATTGAATATTCTATAATATTCTAAACAAATTTTATCCCATCTAGTATTTTAATTTACATTGACGATAAACAATTATTGATTTGAAAATATTGTATACATTTGTATGGTAATGCTTATTTTGATAAAGTGTGATTGCTAAGTGTACATTTATGAAAAATGTCATGTTGCCTTGTGGAATAATATATGACGAAACAAATTGTAAATAATGTATATGTCAATATATACACATTTCTTGGGATTAGAAAAGGATATATTATATAAATATTTACACAATGCAATTTATTCATGTATTTATATTTTTATAGCGCGTTAATGTTATTATTTATTTGATACATGATTTACGTTATTACTTATATATATATTTGTTTTACAATTCTATTTTATAATCCCACTGCATATGATAGTGAAGAACAATTGGAAAACTCATGTATGGAATGTGTACATATAGATAATAGATAAATAAATATATAAATGCGCTATATAATATAACATATCCTCGAAATTAATGTTATCAATACCTATATTATATCCAGAACGTTTTAAGTAAAACAAATATTTAATTCTAACAATATTAATAATTTTTAAAAATCATTACAACTTACTATTGGCAAGATTTACAATTATTTATACATTTTAGACAAATCTCTTGTTTATTTTTGCTATTTTTATACTAATTTGTTTGATAAAATATCGTGTATAAATGGAAGAATTATTTATTATAATTATAGTTATTTCCCTGAGTTGTATAAATTTTTTAATATTAGTTTTAATAGGTTTATATCTAATTGTCTGATAAACCTAGAAAATTTATTTGGAACAAAATATATTTGAAACTTTTAGTATATTTCACTGACATTTGTATTCATTGAAATATAAGCGCCCATTGGACATTTATTTAATATCTATGACTGAACTGACGATAGGTACATATTTTCAATCATAACTTTACGTTCATGATGCAACTTATTAATATACATAGATACTCTATCATTGTGCACGACTGGATTCGAATTTTGTACTTTCGCGACTTTTTGTAAGTCAGAATAACATCTTTGATAATAAAAATAGCTCTAAGCAAGTTCCATAAACTGAATTCAGGCCATAATACATCAGTAAAATAGACACAAGAATTGGAGATCTAAAAAAGGATTTAAATTTACTTTAATTAGTATCTTTTTTAGTAAATCTAAAAAATGATTATTAAACACTGTTTCTTACTTGCCACAAGAGGAAGTCACTAAGTCGAGTTTCTCCAGAAGTACGAATTAATAAATCTGGATTTGGAGATTTGTAAGTATATAAACAGTGAGAAATCAAGTCTTCATTTATGTCTTCTGGTAAGATATCAGTACGCTTTACACCTCTTAGTATATCCTTAATGGCATGAGTAATTTCATCTCTTGCTACAAAAATATCAAAATATTATTTTGAAAAATTATGCAATATTGCTTGAAAAAGAATAACGTTGATTCTTATTTAATGAAAAATGTCATGAGTTTAAATATATACAGTCTTACATGTATAAGCAAAAGCAAGATTTAAAGTTGCTTTATTATTGTTTTTAGTAATGATCATAGCTTCTGCACATAATTGACGCACATCTTCTGGAAGTAAGGATAAATTGCCAATCACACGTATACATATTCCTTGTTCTCTCAATTTATCCCTAAAAATATTGCATTTTGTAATAATAGATCTGTACCTGATTATGCTGTAAAATATGTCTAATTTAGAATTTGATATATACTTCTCTCCTAAGAGTTTCTTAAACTTGCTCCTGGCAAGCTCCATAAGTCCATCAACTTCATCTTTAGTGCGATTATAGTTCTCTATACTAAAAGCATAGACTGTAACTTCTGTAATACCCAGGTCCCTACACCAACTTAATGTCTCTGTCAGCTTCTCAAATCTGTCGTAAATAAAATATAAAGTATACATTACATGATAAAAGAATACAATATAGATTAATATTTAGTTACAAACCTTTTTCGAAAATACATACCCTTTGTCATGTCCGTCATTTTTGGCTATTTTTTGTTTGTTTGCATAACGTCGATTACCGTCCATTATAAACGCTACATGTTTAGGTATGTGGCCAGTTCTTATAACTTTTAAAGCTAATAATTGAAACCAATTCAAAGTATTCTTCTTTATCCACGACATTGTATCTTTCACGTAGGTATGTGCAAAAATATTTATGGATTTTACGTACGATGTATTCCTGTCAAATATACTTTTGCCAGACTTAATATTATTGAATAAGTAATAAATGTATTCACCAACATAAATATGTAAGTACAGTTCCGGGAACTTGGTCCGCTTGGTCGGTCAACTTTAACTTTTTAATTTTTTTTGTAACCAATTGTTGGCTTAATTACATTTGTTGGTTTTTTTTAAATTAAAAACAAATTTGCGTGAATTAACCAGAATAATCGCATTTTTGTTTAAAAAGCAGTTTAATCGATGCGCAATCATTTGCTAATGATTGTTGATCTAATTATTGCTTCTTCTTTTTCTTTCCTTTATTGGCAAAGGAGCGCACTAATTTTGGTGTGCATTCCACGCTGCCAATTTATCTTCAAATTAAAATTTAGTTTTGAGCATGGTCCGTATATACAACGGACCGAGTAAGAAAAAAATTTTTTTAGACGGAACACGTCTATACACGTCGGCTGCCCTGTGGTAACTTTTTTTCATTATTGCGTTTGTTGGTTCATCTAACATTAAGGCCGCATCTACAATAGGTATAGCCTTAAGGTTGAGTCTTATGAAATTGACTAATCATAGTTGAATGTAAGGCCTTGCACACAATAAAGAAAATATTAGGAAATATTAGAGAAACAAAGATTAATTTAAAATAATAAAAATCAATAAAGCTAATAATTGAAACCAATTATGCTTTATGCTCCTTTATCCCCGATATTGCATCTTTCCATGTGAAAATATTTATACAATTTATTCCTCAAATATATATATGTATACACTTTTGCCAGACTTGATACTATTGAATAAGTATAATGAATGTATCGACGAACATAAATATGTACGATATGTACCTAATAGGTTTTTTAAACGATAACAGTAATGATATATATGATACTATAATCAGCAATCAGCTGTTAGTCATCATCTAACCTTCAAAACTAAAAGCTGCATTTTAACGTTAATAGAGGCGTTAATTCTATAACATTTTATATATCTTATGCGCATTGCGTATTGTTAAAGTATTTTGATAAACAATTGCGATAATACATTGAATATCATCGAGCGGAATTTCTTTTTCGCGAAGTCGTGTCAAGATATTTATTGCTCCTGTTTATTTTTGGTTTATATATATATATATATATATATATGTATGTATTTGTTTTATAAAATATCTTATGTAACTATAAGAATTATTTCTATATAATTGTAGTTGATACCGTAGTTATCTTCCTAAGTTGTATAAATAATTTTTTAATATTAGTTTTAACATTATATTATTTTTTCAATTATGACTTCACGTTCATGATGCAACTTATTAATATACATAGATACTCTATCATTGTGCACGACTGGATTCGAATTTTGTACTTTCGCGACTTTTTGTAAGTCAGAATAACATCTTTGATAATAAAAAATAGCTTTAAGCAAGTTCCATACACTTACTTCAGGCCATAATACATCAGTAAAATAGAGACAAGAATTGGAGATCTAAAAAAGGAGTTAAAATTACTTTAATTAGTATATCTTTTTTAGTAAATCTAAAAAATGATTATTAAACACTGTTTCTTACTTGCCACAAGAGGAAGTCACTAAGTCGAGTTTCTCCAGAAGTACGAATTAATAAATCTGGATTTGGAGATTTGTAAGTATATAAACAGTGAGAAATCAAGTCTTCATTTATGTCTTCTGGTAAGATATCAGTACGCTTTACACCTCTTAGTATATCCTTAATGGCATGAGTAATTTCATCTCTTGCTACAAAAATATCAAAATATTATTTTGAAAAATTATGCAATATTGCTTGAAAAAGAATAACGTTGATTCTTATTTAATGAAAAATGTCATGAGTTTAAATATATACAGTCTTACATGTATAAGCAAAAGCAAGATTTAAAGTTGCTTTATTATTGTTTTTAGTAATGATCATAGCTTCTGCACATAATTGACGCACATCTTCTGGAAGTAAGGATAAATTGCCAATCACACGTATACATATTCCTTGTTCTCTCAATTTATCCCTAAAAATATTGCATTTTGTAATAATAGATCTACCAGATTATGCTGTAATATATATTCAATTTAGAATTTCATATATACTTCTCTTCTAAGAGCTGCTGCAACCTGTATTTAATTATTTCCATAAGTCCATCAACTTCAATTTTAGGACGCTTAAAGTTTTCTATACTAAAAGCATATAATGTGACGTCTGTGATACCCAGCTGTTTGCACCAACTTATTATCTCTGCAAGCTTATCAGACCTGTAGTAAATGAAACATAAAGTATATATACATGATATAAAAGAATATAATAGATTAATATTAAGTTAGAAACTCTTCGAAGATATACATACCCCTTTTTATGTCCTTCTGTTGTGGGTATTTCTTGTTTCTTTGCATAACGTCGATTACCATCCATTATAAACGCCACATGTTTAGGCATGTGGCCAGTTTTTATAATCTTTAAAACTAATAATTGAAACCAATTCAAGGTATGCTCCTTTATCCACGACATTGTATTTTTCCACATAGGAACGTGTGAAAATATTTATGTTTCTATGTATAATTTATTTCTGACACACACTTTTGCCAGACTTTTGATACTAATATTGATTCCGTTGAAGATATAAATATATTGAGGAACACAGTTCTAAATAGATGTAATATATAATGGTCTTTTTAAAACGATAACAGAAAATGACAAAATGATACTATAATACTTAACTGTTATCATCTAACCTTCATGTCAGGGCTAAAACCATTTTTGACGTTATGCATTAATTTTATAAATATTTTTATCTTATTTATGCTCATTATGTATTGTTTAAGTATTTTTGGATAAACGATAATATATCGAATAATCGAGCAAATTTTCTTTCCGCGAAAATATGTCAAACTTGCTGACAAGCCGGTATACACATATATATGTTTGCTTTCTCATATGTATTCGCACGTGTCGCTTTTATCCCATAGATACATGTGCTAATAATACATTTTTCATTATTTTTCCCCTACTTTTCTCATTTATTAATGAATAAAACATATGAAAAAACTATCTCATACATCATACAAATTTATGCACGAGTTTATTCCAATTATTTTGATAAATAAGATCATTCGTAATAAACACGAAAAAATATTTACAATCATATGTTGAGAACGATATGCATTTCGTGGTTGGACGCAAGTGTAAACGCAATCTTTCGATCTGCATTGCAAATATTGATTAGTTATGTGGTGACAGCTACATACATCAGACGTAAGTTAGAATGAACGATGAGACACAAATAAGGCTTTTGTCGGGTATAACTTTAATACATAATTTTCCTATTATATTATTTTTACCTGTACAAAATTCTATCAAGATCATATATATATATATATATATATATATATATATATATATATATATATATATATTGAACAGAGAAATGTCGTCAAACATTTTTTTCATTAAACAACAGATAAATATCGGAACATTGTCAATAGGTTATTACAGCATTCGCATATTATAATCCTCATCGTTATTCGCTTCTAAATGAACCACAAAATACTAACAATTTTGTTCTAAAACTCGACCACGATCGCGAGACACGTTCAAGCGTGGCGCGTCTCAATGGCGGATTCATTTCTTCATCGGATAGGTTCCCGGATGACGCAATCTGCCCAGGCATTTCCGGCACGACCGAGACTTCCACTCGAGTGTAAAATTTTTCACGCAGAGTCTTCGATTCATCGAGAATTCGAAATCGAAATCATATTTTTTTTCGCGAGAAAAATTCGGCATTTTCGACGCGACGCGGGGCGAAAAAATTCTGGGTCACCAAGCGCGGGAAGCACGTGGCGCCGCGTGACGTCATCTACGCCCCTGACAGCGGACGCGCTGTCATTGGAGGGACTACTTTGCGTCGGTCTGGCGGAGCGGCGCATGGTGCGTTGCGGTCGTTCAGCGAAGCTCGGCGAAGGAAAATGAACTCCGCGGTTATCACGGCGCTATGAGCCGTAAATCCAAATGTTTCGTCGTCCCTCGTGAGTGAAATAGAAATATCGATTAGCACGATCGGGATGGAGGTCAGCGCGTCCAGGAGCGAGTCCGGGATCGCACCAGGTAACGTAGAAGGCCTCGTAGTATTCCCGTGCGAGCTCGCTCGTATCTGCCTATACGTGCCATCGTGCGTGATCTAAAGTCCCCCCGTCTTGTTCTCCCTTTTACAGAGCTGTACTTCCTGATCGCGAAGTTTTTGGCGGCGGGTCCCTGCGCGGAAGCCGCGACGGTGAGTACCAAAAGCCCGGGGACGCCGAAATCAGGCGTCATCATGAGAAAGAGAGAGAGAGTGAGTGAGTGTCCTAAACGCAACTTTGTTTCAGGCGCTGAAGCGGGAATTGGAGCATGCCAAGGTAAGCCGATCTCGACACTGTACACAACGCTAGCCACACGGGCCACATGGTCTCGCGCACGTGGTTTCTGCTTGTCAAAACAGAATCTCAAGGTCAGTGACCTTGGCGAAGCATCGCGGCTATAAACCGCGATCGGCCCTTGCCGATCGTCATCGATCAATCGGATCGATTTCCACTTCCAGCCTTTATCGAATCATCCCCCTCCCTTATTTATGGATTTTAGATCATGTGCTCTTTTGTTCGCAGACTTTACCGTCGCGACTCGATTGGGAAGGGCACGTGCACAATCAAACGTTCGAGGAGCTGGTGAGTATGGGATATGTTGTACGTGGTGCGACATGGCGATCGGCGGACATTCAGACTCTCGACTCGCCCCTCGTGAGGAGACCCCGCCGTTGCGCCATGTCGCAAGGTGGTTAGATGAAATAATCGTGCGTCCCGTGGGGAGATCGCGGGGGGTTGCTCTACCCCCGTTTAATCCCTCCCCGCGATGGCCCTCCTCTTGCGATTCCTCTCGCGTCCTCTCTCTCTCGCGTAGAACGTTCGCCGTGGCCTCCTCCCCCCACCACTGTCGTGGAACAACCAATCGCGGCGCGTTTCCGGCCATTTCGCGTGAGCTGATCAATGAATATATGTAGATGCCCACGGCTTATTTATAGAAAGTCGCGCGCGTGACGAATGGCCCCTTCTGATTGGTGGGCCGCGGGAACTACTTGATCGTTTGAATTTTGCGCGCGAACGGTCAGCGTCGTGATAATTAACATTTACTTTAATCATTTTCGACGTTTTTAATTGCTAACACAATTGGAAAACATTTTAGTTTTCAATTCTTCGTTGTAGTATTTTATTTCGCATTGTGCATAATTGAGATTCATATAATTGATATAAAAATAATATTGTATAAAGATATTAATATTATATAAAGATTAATATCTTATAAAGATTAATATCATATAAAGATTTGATATATAAAAATTAATATCATATAACGTCTATAATAAAGAAAATAAACAACATATTGCAGATATTGAAATATAGCTCTTTCAAATATTACATAATCCTAAAACTTTTATATAGCGTAACAAAAAAGCTCTTTAAATCCTCACAACTTTATGTGTGGATTATTTTACATGGTAGCTTATTATTATGACTAAATTTTTTTTTCCTTTTAGGAAAAGAAATATTCTCACATTGGGTCAAATCATTTGTTGCAAATATGTGCCAGAATTGGACCAGTGTTAGAGAAAGAAGTGCCGCCATGTGTTCCTGGAGCAATATCGCTTTTGGGCGCAGGCAGACAATCTTTGCTGCGTACCTACGAAGGTATGAGAAAAATAATTCTTTTTCCCTTTTAATTATTCTTTACTGCAATAATAATTTTATCTAATGACAAGTACATGAATATTGCATATATTGTGTAAAATTTTATTTTTACAGACATTACACGTCACACAAACAGTATTGTCAATTTTTCCGGAAGATTCGGTGGAAAGCCCTTTCTAGAATTTACTAGTTTGTTAGTGCCTAACATAGGTAAGAAAATTAACAATTAAAGTAAGAGTTGACAATGCAAAATGTGCACTAGCTATATGTGCATTTTACTAGCATTTTTTTCCTCCATATAAAACGTCAATATATAATTTTACTATGCACATATTTTTGCCCACTAGTACGTGTACTTCAGGGACGTGAAAACTCCGGTCCTTTGAGTCGAAGACAGGCAAAACCTACAAAGTTCTACAGCAAGATGAATTTATATCGACGTACACTGGGTCATTTATCCGCAGTGTATTGTGTGCTGTTTGATCGCACCGGTAAATATATTATAACTGGAGCGGATGATTTGCTTGTCAAGGTCTGGAGTTCTGTCGATGGACGTTTACTTGCCACTTTTCGAGGCCCGTCCGCCGAAATTATGGATATTGCAGTAAATTTTGATAATACTTTATTGGCGGCGGGAAGTTTAGATCGAGTTTTACGAGTCTGGTGTTTCCAGACGATGTCACCTGTGAGTGAATTGAAAATATAAATGCTAAGTGAAAATTAATTTTATTTTTATATACGATAATTATCTATTTTTTTAATTTATATATTTTTTAAGGTGGCAGTTTTAATGGGGCATACAGGCATGATTACATCCGTGAATTTTTGTCCAATAGAATGTAATGGTGTTTATTATTTGGTCTCTACTAGTACAGATGGATCGGTGGCCTTTTGGTCTCATACAAAGAAAGTGAATGAAAGAGCGGTATTTCAGTAAGTTCAATTTAGACATAAAATAATTCTTTATTAATATCTTTCTATCTGTAATATATTTTATAGTTATTTTTTGTTTGTAATATATTATTTTAATATCTTGTAGAAAATATTTTTATATAAAATAATTGTGTGCAACATGTAATTTATTGCAGGACAAAACCTATTCAATATCATGAAAAAATGAGACCTGGTCAAGCACAAATGATTTGTGCCTCTTTTAGTCCTGGGGGCGCATTTATGGCAGCTGGATCTGCAGATCATAATGTAAGAGTTTACACAATGTTAGGAGACGAAGGACCACGCAGAGTCCTCGAAGTGGAGTCGCATTCCGATACTGTAGATAGCATTCAGTGGGCGCATAACGGTTTGAAATTCATTTCTGGTTCTAAAGACGGTACTGCGAATGTATGGCATTTTGAGCAACAGCAATGGGTACATAAACAACTACTCATGGCAACAAAATTACCTGGGTATGTTTTCAAACAAGTTTTTTTTTATAAAGATTTTATATTCATTAATCTAATACACAGGGTAATAATATTTAATATAAAATTAATTTTTATTCTTTTTTTTTTTTTTGCAGAGAACCAGAAACAGAAGATGACACAAGCAAAAAAGCGAAAGTAACTATGGTTTGTTGGGATGTAAGCGATGAGTACGTTATAACAGCGGTAAACGATTGCACATTGAAAGTGTGGAATGCAAAATCGGGTGCATTGATGAAAGTTTTGCGTGGACATAAAGACGAAGTATTTGTATTAGAATCGCATCCGATAGATCCTCGCTTGATACTTAGCGCTGGTCATGATGGACAGCTTATTATTTGGGACGTATTAAATTCGGAATCGATAGCGTGTTTTCAAAATTCTGTCGAAGGTCAGGGAAATTGTGCTATCTTTGATGCGAAATGGTCGCCTGATGGTACAATGCTCGCTGCAACAGATTCTAATGGACATCTTTTGATGTATGGATTTGGATCTGGTGCTGAGAAATTAAAAACTGTAAGCTATCTTACTCTTACTTTTATTTATAATATTTTATATATATTTATAATATATATTATATGTATACTTTTATAAAATATATATATATATATATATATATATATATATATACACATATAATTAAATTATTTCCTTTCTTAAATTATTTTCAGATACCAAAGGAATTATTCTTTCATACGGATTACCGGCCCTTAATAAGAGATGCAAATAATTATGTTCTTGACGAACAAACACAAACTGCGCCACATTTAATGCCGCCGCCGTTTTTAGTTGATGTGGATGGAAATCCTTATCCACCAACGCTACAGAGATTGGTACCAGGAAGAGAAAACTGTAGAGGCGAACAATTAGTACCAAATATTGCAGTTGGTGCTGGTGGTAAGATTCATACATGATAACTTCACACAATACATCTTAAAAGGTCTTAATTGAAAAATATCATATAGAGCATAATCTCTTCAATAACAAGATAACATTTTGCATTGATTTTTGTATAATTATATTTTTAATTTGTAAGTTGTATTCAAAATTCTTCATATAAATAATTTTTCTTGAAAGAATATATAAATTTACATTAAACAGGGATGCAAGAAGTTATAGAAGGTCTTCCAGAACAAGAACCAAGATCGAACATTGATCGATTGATTGAGGCTCTTGCTCAGAGACAAAATATCAATGCAGATGGAGAAGTCATAGGTGATGATAGGGAGAATAATATCGCAGAGCAACCGATTCGTCAAATAGCAAGTCCCCGCGGTAGTAGAGCCGGTTTGAGGAGAGAAGGCAATGTCGAGGGTGTTCGACAAAGTAGTGGTAATTGGCAGAGGGACAATACTACGCCGTGGAACAAACCTATTCTCGCACGTCCCATGAGGCTAGCCTTCAAAGAGACTCAAATTAAGGCAGTGTAAGTAATTATATCACAGTTCTTTTGTGTGATATTATTGAAGTAAATATAATTATACACAGAGAGAATTTTCTCTTAGAATTTATCCTGAAAATCGTGGGATAATATTGTATTGGAAAAATTTTATAAGACTTTCTACCACAATAAGATATAAAATATGTTTGATTAATTTTACTATGTACATAGTATATATATATTAATATTTTTTATTATGATAAGTATTAATCAGAGAAATTTATAAAATTTTTCCAATATTGTTCTTGAGAGTAAATTCAAAAAGAAAATTATCTCCATATAATGAAAATCTCATAGAAAACAGTTTTCAATAAATTTATTATTAAGGCTTCTGACTCTTCATCAATCATGTTGGAATTGCGACGTCAGAGACAATAAAACGCACAAATTCTTAGATGCTATTTCGAAATAAATGCCGCGGCGAAGACTCAACAGCCTTAAGTTATTGTTAATGTATTATTAATTTAATTTGATACCGAGCAGCATTAATGTGATTACATGTTAAATAAATTGTTAATATTAATATTAAAAGAAAGATATTCAATTCTTAACAAATTAATTCGCATTTGTACATTATCTGTAAAGTCAATCAATGGCCGAGATGGAATTAGAAAACTGGCGGCGGGAAATGCGACGGCGACCGCAGCCTACATCGAGCACTGCCACTAATCAGGGCAATATAGGAAGTAGACTCGTAAACCGCAAACGTAATAGAACTACTAGACACGGTTATAGAACCAGAGCAACGCGTGATGAAGAACAGGAGGAAGAATATGAGGTACCTCACAGAAGCGATATTTAATACTGATAAGTATTAACTCGTGGACAATCTTATTTGCTGTATTGTATAAAATAACATATAAACTTCATAGAGTTCTACAATTGGTTAAACGTCATAATATTATATATTTTTACAGAATCCTGATAATACTGGCACATCAGCGAGTTCTGCCAGCACCAATAGCAATGATTCTACTGCTCATGAGGAAGATTTGTGTTCCGATAGCACTACCACTGATTCGAGCACTGAATATTCAGATTGGATGGCGGACCATGGACTGAACTTAGAACCGCCTAAACGTAGTAAACGTAAACCCGTGAAAAAACGATCTGTCACACCACCGAGTGATACAGACAGAAGACGCAGTAAACGTCCTAAGAAAAAGGTAAGTTCATAACTCTTATGTCATTTTAACTCTATAATGAATTTTGTTTAAAATTAATCATTATTCAGCAGGGAGTACAAATAGCTAATGGAGTTTGTGAAGTTTCTGATATATACCGCCCTTCAGAATGGCTTACCGAAGTAATACCGAGGAAAGCTCCTTATTATCCACAAATGGGCGATGAAATAGTATATTTCAGACAAGGTCAAAAATTCTATTTAGATGCAGTTAGGAATAAAAAGATTTATGAGCTTAGTCCTCGGTGCGAGCCATGGACCAAGATGAATATTAGAGTACGTTTATTTTATTCTAAGGGATAAAAAAAGAGGTTTTTAACTATATGGGACGAAATATTAAAAAAAAATCTTTATAAACAGTATTAGAAGGTATATATACTAATCAAAATATATTTATATTCTCTAGGCACAAGAGTTTGTGAAAGTAGTGGGCATTAAGTATGAAATTAAACCGCCTCGTTTATGTTGCTTGAAATTAGCACTGATGGACGAAGACGGTCGACTTACCGGGCAGAATTTTACTATCAAATATCACGATATGGCCGATGTGTTAGATTTCCTAGTGTTACGTCAAACTTTTGATATGGCGTTGGCACGTAGTTGGTCCGAAGGTGATAAATTTCGTTGTATGATCGATGATGGTTGGTGGATGGGACAGATTGTCGGGATGGAGCCGCTAGATGAAGAATTTTCGGATTCATTTTTTATGTGTTTTCGCGTCAGATGGGATAATGGAGAATACGAACGGATGAGTCCTTGGGATCTCGAACCTGTTGACGAAGAGAGTAAGTTTGTCACTTCTCGAAATAAATATTTCATTTTAAATTAATTGAAAAAGCGAGTAAAATATATAAAGATATTTTAATCTTATATCTTGAACTTGTTTTTTTCTCTGGACTTTTTAATCGTACTATATGTATTAATTATATTAATTTAGGAATCCCTGTGGAAATCGGTAACTCGGTTCCCGTCTTACCAGAAGAGAGACAAGCGATACTGTATCAACCCCATGCGGAAGAATGGCCCATGGGTGATAGAGAAGCCACTTGTCGTCGAATCATACGAGGCCTGGATCAGGTGATGAGCCTCGCAATCGCGGAACCATTTGTAGTACCGGTGGATCTCAGTCTTTATCCGACTTATGCGTATATTGTTGAATATCCAATCGATTTATCGACTATAAAAGCTCGGTTTGAGAATCATTTCTACCGAAGAATCACATCGGCGCAATTTGATGTCAGATATTTAGCAACAAATGCTGAACAATTCAATGAACCTCACAGTCATATAGTGAAAAAGGCGAGAATAGTCACTGATTTGTGTTTACGCATAATAAAGTAAGCAAATATATATCTTTCTATTTTTTTTATTAACATTGTACACAATCTTTACATTCTATACTGATGAATGTTATATAAATAATGTTTTTCTTATGCAGGGCACCTATTGACTTGGATGTTCCAGCAGTATATCATCAATTGAATGATACATACCATTCTTCTGAATCGGAAACAGAGGTAGAAAATAAACCTTCCACGAGTAAACAGAAATCTACGTCAAGTAGAAATTTACGTTCGCAACAAATATCGCTAGACTGGAAATTAGCATGTCGTCAATTATTAGAATCTCTATGGCAATGTGAAGATTCGATTCCTTTTAGGTAAGATGTGGCGATAAAAATGCTTAAATTTTTTCTTCATATACTATTATTGTTTTTTCTTTTTTATCATAAGGAGTATATAATTATATTGAAAATCATTTTGCAGAGAACCGGTTGATAGATTAGAACATCCAGATTATTATCAGATAATAGACACACCGATGGATTTACGTACTGTCAAAGAGGATTTAATGGGCGGCAATTATGAAACACCATTGGAATTTTCCAAAGATATGAAGTTAATATTTACAAATAGTAGGAATTTTAATACGAACAAACGTTCGAGGGTAAGTTAACACAATCTTTGTTTTGTTTATATAGTTATTTCATAATTTTTTGCAACACATTTTATTAAATATTTTATATATATTATTCAGATATATTCGATGACAGTAAGACTATCAGCCATGTTTGAGGAGCATATGCGTAGGATACTTTTGAATTGGAAATCGGCGCGTAGACGTACCAATAATACGAAAGCAAAAGTAAAAGGAAAAAGGAAGCAAAAACGAAAACGGAAACACAATTTAAGCAATGGTACAGGTAAGCGTCTTTATTGATTTGTATTAATACAACATGATTGCTAACTATTTTATTTGCAGGTTCTAAGTTGAAATCTGCTCCAAGTGACGAAGATGAGGATGAGGATGATATAAATAGCGATGACGATGATGAGGAATCGAGTAAAGATCAGAAGAAGAAAGATTTTGACATTTCTGCACCTGGTACGTATCTTTCTAAATTATTATATTGGAGGAATTAAAAAGAAGGAAGTATATTAACTATCTTTTTTATTATATTTGCATTGAGTACAAATCTAAACTTGACATATTTTCATTAGAGATATCTTCTACCACAATTTACACTTTTTGAAATTGATAATTATTAAGGCTCCTTGGTTCTCGTCGCTCTCATGTTAGATCGTGAGTCGTTAGAGCTGTCATTTGATTATAAAAAGAAAAGGATAGTTTTCAAGATATTTTAAAAGTGTGCTAAAAAGTCATCTGAAGTACTGTTTCATCGAAATTTCTTTTTATTTTGAAATGGTATCTAAAAATTTTTAGTGTGTTTTCTCGCTTCTGACGTCACAATTCAAACACGGTCTGCGAGGAGCCAGGAGTCTTAAATTAAAATTATTATTGATATATTGTTGTTTGTAGTTAATGACGTCTTAATTATTTTGATTGTTCTAGCTATTTTATATGAAATGACTAATTTTGATTTGATTTTGATCTCTTTCTAGGACCATCACGAATGACAAACGGTCATACAAAGCGATCTGTCTCGTCTCGGCCGACGTTGAAACTGAGAATCTGTCGGTCGACTGTATCAAAGAAGTCGAAGAACAGTGATAGTGATGCTAGTGAATCAGAGGCAACGATAGATACTGACAGTAGTAACAGTAGTGCCCCTGTTCGACGAACTAGAGCAAGAAATGTGGTGCCCAGTGTTAGTGCCGATACCGATTCCGGGGACACTTATACACTCAACGGTCGTGGCAAGCAGGTTCGCAAAAATCGCGGCAGGAATATTAAGAATGGTAAACAATCTAAATCCAAAGTGAAATTGAACGTTATCGTGGACGACGAGGACGATGACGACGATGAATACGTTGCGAAAAACAATGATGACGAAGAGAATAAAGAAGACGACGACGAGGAAGAGCAATTCGTTGCACCAGACTCTACGGAAGAAGAAAGCGAGGAGGAAAAATTTATCCGAAGAGATACTAGATCGCGAAAATTAGTAGTTGAAAGCAAGGAAAACCAAAAATACACTGCTGACAATGGAAAGAACGAAAATAGCGAGAGCGAAAGCGAAGAAGACGATGAAGAAGTAGAACAGGATGAGGAAGAAGAGGAGGAAGAAAAACAATTACAGCACGAAGCCAACAATCAAGATTCTGAAGACAGTGATTATTCATATGAAGCATCAATCAGGTCATCGCGTTCCAGTCGTCGAAAACAACGCGGCCCCATAGAGTCGGATGATACGAGACACTACGGCAGACGAGCAGGTCGAAAACGTCCCCATTATAAGGAGGAAAGCGATGATAGCACCAATGGAGCGCCAATAAGAAACCGACGCAAGATCAAGCGCCGCTCTTATGCCGAGGAGAGCGACGAGGACAGCTTACAGGAGCCTGGCATTAGTATAAGTAGTAGAGGCCGTATACGTAAAATGACGCAACGCGCCCGTGCTTATCTTTTCGAATCGGCATAACGGCATCTTCTATGTTAATAAAAGTTATATGTATATTAAAGAACCTGTTTCGCGTAGAAATCCTGATGAGGATCGCATCATCTCGTGCTCGTTAAAGACGCGGATCAACAGGTCACAACGCAAAAAAAAAATGAAGGATACACTATTTCATGTGTATAAATACTTCGAAATGTTTGATTGACAAATTAGAATAGAACTTTTTACAATGTTTCTCCCCTGGTTTATTTCGAAGCGTTTATCAACGAAAAACATAAATGTAGCAGATTTGGAAGACGAATAGAATTTTCCACTTCTTTGTCTTGTTTCGTCTCTATATTTGTTTTTTATTGTTATAGATTTTTCACAAGATATAATTGCAATACGAATTTCCGATACTGCAGTACGATTTTCAGAAATAACGTAAAAACTGAATTTGTGAACAAGATTTATACTCTGTGCACTCTTGTTCGACTTATGTAAAAGATGGATTATCGTACTATAGTGTCATATTGAACGCTTCTGCTACAAAGATCTTTCATTTTTACAAAGTAGTTTTTGAAGCGTGTATTCTTTTTTTATATTTGTCTTCAAACAAATACACACATATATATATATATATATATGTGTGTGTGTGTGTGTGTATATGTATATAGTAGCATAATGGTACAAGCGGAAATAGTTTTGTAAGCAGACGCGCGATATTTTTTGGTATCTTGATAGTCATTCTGTATATGACATGTTCAATCGAATTCACATTAGACAGATTACTGTATATAAAGTTTCACTCGCTCTAAAAAAAATTATATAGAGAATTCTATATAATCGCGTTATTGTACAGATACAATGATTATCTTGTTACTTGTAAATGTTACTTGTAAAACGAGCGACTTGCTCTCAAAGACACGAGTTCTCGTTTGGTTGTGGCGATTGCTTCCATGATTTCAAAAGTTTTAAGATTCACATAAATTTTTATGTTATGACAATAAAAAGAAGAGAATCGATATAAAATCATTTTATTTTATATAAAACAGTTTTTAGTTTTGCAAAAATAATAAGCAAGTTAAATAACACACTTGTGAATTTATCAAGTTATCATTTTTACAGACTTTCGCAATATCATTGTGACACAATTGTTCGTTGAGTTTATTTATAGAAAAACTTTAAGCGATTTTTTACATATTCTGTTCGAGTCATTGAGAACATATGTATAAATCAGTATTTTAATTTTGAAAGATTCTCAACAGAAAAATGTAATAATATTAGGTATAATTCAATTTTCTACATTACTGGAGTAAAATTTATAAGGTTTGTTATATATGCAATAACACTTACTTCCTTGGATACCGGACTTATAATTAGCGTTTTTTAAAATTGTATTAAACGACGTGACATTTGCAATAGCAGTTGTTGTTAGCACATACAAAGAATTAAATTTTATTTTACTGAATGTGATGAAAAATATCAGGGAAAGTACAAGAAAATATTCTATATTATTTTCTTCTCTTCTTTTTCCCATTTTTCCTTCTTTTTTTCTGAAAGTTCGCCACTTTTCGCTTCTCACAATTTTCATTTAAGTTTAGGACATATGTGTAAAAAAAACGCGAGTCCGCCTGTATGTAAATATATATGTATTAACTCGTATATTCTTCTCTTTTCTTTCTTTTTAATATTCTATGTTACATAAAAGATAACATGAATTTTATATATGATCCGTAGTGCTGCGTGTGAAATAACGATTTTTTATATAGTTTGTATATCTGTTACGGATCTATATATAAAAGAAGCCCCGCGTGGTCACATAATTTTAGAATTTTTCAGGAAGGCAAATAGACATTTTTCAGGTTTATAAGATGCGAACTTAAATCGATTATGCATTACATACTTATGTAAATGATTATTAGATAATTATTGCCACCAACAGCTAACATCATTGATCAAGACAAATGCACAAAAGATCAAAAGTCTTGACTGTCTCGAGCCATTGTGATATTAGTTTAAGAATATCAAATATATAAAGTATAAATTGATAATGTGTAAATTATCAATATAATTAGGATTGTAATCAATATTTTTTTAATGACTTAAATAAGAGAGTCATATCACATGTAGACTCGATGATGTATCCAACCTTTGATTAATATTAATTTAACGATGTTAACTTTGGTCTCATTAATCATATAATAATTAATATACTTCACGCGAATAATGATTCAGAAATAATATAATTTCATGTATATAAACTCTGCCGAGAACACACATAGGACTTAATATGAAGACAGTTACATTTTATGTACAGTTTGACTTACTCTGTTGTGAAATCTCAGCTTGCTTTGTTACATACATATAATACGGTTCTTTGAAACCCACCGTCACATCAATAAAAAAAAATTAAATTGTTTTACATATGTCTACCTGTGTATTATTATATTTTCCATTAATCTTATGATTTCATAGAAAAAAACGCCAATTTTTCTTAATTTCTTATATGAAAGTTCTATACACAATTAACATATGTATTTAACTTTGATGTAATTTTTTTTTTAAACGTGTACCATTTTCAAACTTTATTGCTTATTTATAAGTAAAGTTAAATAATTAACTACCTAATTATTTGATATACAAGGTATTTCATAAGTTTCAACTTAAGCTTCCAAAAGATTTTTACTGTGCATGTGTATGTACATTCATGCATAATAAATTTCCACACACATGCTAGACATAGGTATATTTACAAATTTATTAATAGATTGATGAATTAAGTCTTACAAGTACACAACGAAAAGACCTTATTTCTGATAGTTTAGAGAATATTTACAAGAATTGAAGAGAGCAAGCAATTTGAAAAGTAAAAAAAGATATCTTTTGACTTATATATGTATATTCATAACGTATGAAACATTTTTTATTATAATTCGTTTATTTGTATATCTCTCTAAATGGATAATATGAATATTACAAAGATTAATTCCACTAATTAATAATGATTTATTTAATTTTGATAATTTTATAAAATGGCAGCCATATTTTAATGATTATGTATGATGAGATTATAATACTAGGATAAAATGGATAAGAGATCGTGATTTTTTCAATCACATACGAATCTGTTTTTACATTTTCAAGTCTACATTTTTTCAAACAACTTTTCCATACCCCTATTTATTTTCTGTCGGCATACCTATTTTAATATTAAAACGGAATATTTCAATATTGAAGAACAATATATTTAAAAGATGTTTCTATTTATAGAAAGTTCGCGTATTGCTTTTTATTGTGCAAGAAATTGTCAGATTGTTTATTTATTCCAGTATATATACATCAATATGAAAACTGGACCATAAATTCTTTTAAGAATTAATATGATTATATCTCATTCTCGACATAAATAAAATAATAACAAAAAATATATTTTATTAATTAAAGTATGCTAAGTTTGAAATGCACTGTATAACTATATTATAATAGAATCTATTTCAATATTTCAACTTTAAGTTTCTTTTTGTTTAAATAAAACAAACTTTACTTATTGGAGGCCTTCAATGGAGCGTCATCAGTTTAGTTTATGCTTGAATTCATTTATAATCAATATCTCGATCAAGCCTAACCCACAGAATGCCACAATCTACTGAGTGGAACTCAGGCGGAAGATGAATATTGTTCTTTAAGTCTATTGAATTCTATCTCTTTTTGCAAATATTCCTTGACAAAAGGATGCTCTAAATGAGAATCTTTTAATTGACTTAGATAACGATTTGCCACTTCTGGTGGTTTGCCCATATGTTGGGAGAGAACAATCATATTGATCAATGTATCTGGATTATTACTATCCTTATCAAGAGACTCTTGTAAAGCTGTTTCTGCCTCCTCATATTTAGCTTGTCCAATAAAACAAGTAGCTTGTCCATTCAATAACATGCTTGTACTGGAATGTTTGTCAATCATCTCCTGAAATAATTTATAATCATATTAGTGAGAAAATATACTTTTGATAAAGCAAATTAAAATGTCAGCATAAAATACCTTCGTTTTATACACTAGGAGATGAGTCAATCCTTTCTTACCTGAAAGATGTAATAAGCATCTTGCAATTTGTCACCACCACTGGTAATGTTAACCCATGCTTGAGCAAGTTGAGTCAAAGTAGCATCATCATCCTTCTCCTGCATCGACTTGAGTTCCTTACGAGCCAGATCTGGACGATCCATTTTGAGATATATCTGCAACATCAGCGCCATGCATTCCAAATGGTCCACGTTGTGCAATATTCGGAGAGCAGCCTCCAGATTTTTCTCATGATAATAAATAGTTGCTGCTACAATCAGGAAATTATGATTATCGAAATTTGGATGACTGGCTTCCTTGTCGAGTTCAGTTACTATGGCCTCGCGACGATGCGGATTGGCAAAATAGTCTGCCAAGGTCTTCAGCGGCTGCAATTCCGGTGGGGACAAATTGTTGATTTCATCTAATACCACACGGAACTTTCTTTGCGCTATATAGGCGCGATAGAGCAACACGTCGCGTTCCATAGCTGCTTCTGGAGAGGATGGCTGCGAGGAAAAAAGGAAATTAAATAAGACAATTTGCATTTATGACGCTGAAACTTTATTCACAAACATATTAATAAATTGATTTAAAAAAATGTATATTATACACCCTAAAATTATACTTCGCATTAAGAATAAAGCTTTATAAATACGTCATAATTGCACACGATTAACTTTAAAAATAATAGTAATTCTAAAGAATAAGATCGGTGTTGCAGGGTGAGAACAGCAGCTATCATTCGTATAAAAAATCTAAACTCAAAAGAAACGTCAAGATATAGGCAGGGAATAAATTGTTGAAAAAAAAACCTTGCCTTGATTTTTTGCGCTTCGTTGATGCATTGCTGGTAATTGCCGATGTAAAAATGATTTCTAACGTCGAAAAGCTCGTCGACGTCCTGCTGCTGACGTGCCATCTTGTCACTTGTGACGGAGAGAGACGCCCATGCCGGCTCTTTCCGCGACCACAGATTAATAGACAGATCGCCAAAGGCCTGCCTAAAGAATAGACCGCCATCTTCGTGCGATAGACTTTGCCCCTTACCGACACACTTTGCCCCTGGTTCGAGTCCGTGCTAAATTTCGTAGACTTGAACCAAAAGACTTTGCCCCTGGTTCGAGTCCGTGCTAAATTTCGTAGACTCGACCAAAAGACTTTGCCCCTGGTGCAAGTCCAGGTTAAATTCGTTTGACATTACCAACAGACTTTGCCCCTGGTGCGAATCCAGGCTAATTGATCATGAGACCAATTTGAGAGATTTGGCCCCCGTTGTGTGTGTGTGTGTGTGTGTGTGTGAGAGAGAGAGAGAGAGAGAGAGAGAGAGAAAGAGAAAGAGAATATTTTACATATGCATATATATATATATATATATATATATATATATATATAAAATTTATTAAATATAAAAAATATATTTTTTACACATAAAATGTTTTTTTATTGAAATAATCACGATTTTAAATGTGATATAACACAGTGTTCAAAAATTTTTAATTAAATTTTATTAAAGAAAATTACTTGAAATTTTTTACATTAAGAATTTAAAGGCTCCTTATTCTCTTGTAGAAATTTATCACTATGCCAATTAATCACTTATTTCGAGTATTTAAAATACTATAATATACAGTAATTTAAGTATTCGAAATAAAAGTGATTAATTACTCGAAATAAAATTGATAAATTGGCGTTACTAGTAATAAATTTCTATAAGGGTTGAAATAAAGTATAAGAGATAAATAGGCTATATGTGAGCCGTATGCGAAATGTGAGATGTAAGACGCATATTGAAATTTAATTTTTTTATATAACTTTCAAAAATGTACACGAGGTACAAAAAATTAGCTTGGACATTTGTAAGACTTAAAATTGGGATTAATTCTCAATTCTATTAATTAAATTTCGATATAACACACCTTACATCCGCGCACGGCTCACATATAGCCCATTTATTAGTGCAATTTTTAAGTTCCTTATTTTTCAAAGTTCACCTTTTTACGTTATCAAATATTTTTGGTACGTTTTCAAGAATTTTATATTTTTACTTACCGCAGTTTCTTATCCAAATGTAAAATCTTTTATCGCAGTCTATAAAAAATTGAAACAATTTACAATTTTATGATATAATATTATTATTATTACAATTTCTATATATATGCACATCTGTCAAATATCGTGATTTATTTCACATTATTATTATCTATTTTAATAAAAAAAAAAAAAAAAAACACTTGCAACAATCAAAAATAAACCGCCTGCCGCGAACGGAAAATGCCAAGAAAGCACGCAATTTCCGCGAATCTCGTAATTTTTTTGAAGAATCAACAATTTCAACGAAATTGTAAATTCTTCAAATCACTGCACAAGTATAATTCACAATAATAATTTTCAGTAACTACGATAAAAAATCGTATACTGAAAACCGCAAACGAAAGTGCAATGGAAGTAAGAGTAAAGTCTGTGATAAAATTAATTGGCAATAGAAAATTAATAATTTTCAAATAGAAAAATTTTGAAATTACCGAGGATTTACAAATAATAAAGTAAAAATATTAAATAATTTATGTTTTCGAATTTTGCTCGCGGAGAGGATCTTTAAAACAAGATTTTTAGAAGAGAGGACCTTTAAAATATAAACAGGCAAAAACGTTGAAAAATTAAAGCGCGCGTTTAAACAGATAAACGCAATGAAATAGATACGCAATTGTTTTTACTTATCGCTGTAAGCTCACAAGCTTCTGACGTGCTATACACTTTTATATAATATATACAGGGTGTCCGGTAACTAACGGACCAATGATTAAGGGCGGATTCTCTGGCCAATTTGGAGACGATTTTTCCTTAGCAAAAATGTAGAGAAGTCAATAATTTTCGAGTTATAAGCGATTGAAAAAAATAGGTTTTTTGAAAACTAAACGTTTTGGAGTTAAAAGTCTAACATAATTACATTCTTCAGTTAATTTCAGGTAGAGTTTACTATAATAAAATTTTAATTTAAGGCTTAGTTATAAAGATATATAATGACAAAGATTGGAAAGTTGTAAAAAATGATGACCTTTTTCGACATTTTCGCTGAAGAAAAATCGTTCCCAAATTGACCAAAGAATCCATTTGTAATCATTGGTCTGTTAGTTACCGGACACCCTGTATATTGGACACGAGTTTCGTTTGTTTCAGATTCTCGAGAGTTGAAGTAGGAACATACGAGTATCATATATCGTTTGTGACTTGCCGAATGAAAGCAAGACAGAGAGCGAACGAGATGATGAGCTTAATAGCTCATAATGTTATAAATAAATAAATAAAAAATTATAACTTGACCTACTAGTTATTGAATCTTTTTTTAATAAAATGTTTCATTATTATTATCATCTAAGTCTAAGTCGTTTAATTACTTTTTAGTTTTTTAATAATTAATTTAATTTATTCTAGTCATTTTTATATGAGAAAAATAATATCACGTATACGTTTTATAATGAATTAATATATTTCGGGAACCGAATTATATATTCTTAATAATATTAAAGTGTTTAAAAATTATATTTGACTTTTAATTTTAATTATTTTTTAGCAAAGAGTTTCGAAATCTCTTACACACATAATGGGGATTTTTTTCATCCATATATTCGCAATTTAGTATATATGTTAATTATTAATTTTAATAAAATAAAAATTAAAATTAAAGGTCAAATATAATTTTTAAACACAAATATATTAAATTAATTATAAAACGTATACCCATGATAGTATTTTTCTCGTACAAAAATAATTAGAGTAAATTAAATTAATCATAAAAGATTAAAAATTAATTAAAGAATTTAAACTTATATTTTATATAATAATAATAAAACATTTTATTACGTCAAACCGTCGTGAAATAATTAAATAAAATTTGCTAGTTACGTCGAAGTCAAGTTTTCTAAGCTTATAAAACATTTTATTAAAAAACAGATTCAATAAATATAAGTACATGTTATATATATACTTATATTTATTGAATCTGTTTTTTTTATAAAATGTTTTATTATTATCATATAAAATATAAATTATTTAATTATTTTTTTATTTTTTTATGAGTAATTTAATTTATTCTAGTTATTTTTGTACGAGAAAAATACTATCACGGGTATACGTTTTATAACAAATTAAATATATTTATGTTCAAAAATTATATTTGACCTTTAATTTTAATTTTGTATTTTATTAAAATTAATAATTAACATATATACTTAATTGCGAATTATATGGATGAACAAAATCCCTATTATGTGTGTAAGAGATTTCGGAACTCTTTGCTAAAATAATTAAAATTAAAAGTCAAATATAATTTTTGAACACTTTTATATTATTAAAAATATATAATTCGACTCTCGAAATATATTAATTCATTATAAAACGTATACGTATTAGTATTTTTCACATATTAAAATGATTAGAATAAATTAAATTAATTATTAAAAAACTAAAAATTAATTAAACGACTTAGACTTAGATGATAATAATAATGAAACATTTATTAAAAAATAATTATAATAGGTCAGGTTAATATTTTATTTATTTATTTATTTATAACATCATAAAATTCTGTCCTTTCCGAAATACGCGAACGCTACGAAAAGATAAATCTCGTACATGCCGCCGGACGAGTTCATGAGCATGAGACGCTCTTATCTTGGGAACGTATTAATAGTTACTGCATTGACCACTACTACAATATGGCGCTGAAATCAGTGAGAAATGCTGGTCTCTCCTTCATCCAGACCTTTGGCGATCTGTCTATTAATCTGTGCCGCGACTATCTCGTATAGTAACGCCACTACATCTAGTTTTAGGAATTAAAATATCGAATTGAAGAACAATGACATTACCAACCGTTTTGCACCGTGCTTATATAAAATATGAAGAAAGGAAACTCACTCTTTATTTCGAAACGCAATGACATCTCAAAACGCTAAAATTCATTGGGCGGAATTCATAGATGTTTCTTGAGTTTCAAGACAACCTTAAGCTAGTGCTTAAGATCGTGATAGTTTCATGAACATTTCTAAAGACCGATTTTCAAACTGAAACTTGAGATCATGCTTAATGAAGCAAATTCTGTTTCATAGGGTGCGTTCCGTTATGCACTGCAAGTACTGACAGTACTACCAATAGCGTTCCGATATAGATAGCAGTGCACTGCGAAAGTACTATCATGAGTATATGACGTCATTAATTTTGACGTTATTTCCTGTTGCGATTACTGCAACCGGCGAGGTAAAGCACTCGCAGTAATCAAGATGGCTACCTCCATGTGTACGATGGAACTAACTTTTAAATTCCATATCTGAATATAATGATACAATATTTTTAACGTAATTTTTACATTTTATTCTAGGTATTTTAATTTGTCGTCTCATTTCATTTATTAATTCCATTTCCAAATCGCTTTCACTTGATGACTCACTCGAATCATATATATTCTCGATTAAATTATATGTAATTAATGCAATAATGGTATTATCCATTTCACCAATTTTTCACTCGATGATTATTAGCGAAAAAGGTTAGTTAAAAGTCTGCTGAAAGCGTACTGTAGTGCGTTCCGTTTTACTATTTTGCAGTAGCTTCAAAGTGCACAAAATTAAAAAGGAACGCTGTCAACAGTACACTTGCATGACGTCATAGTGCCAGTACTTGCAGTGCATAACGGAACGCACCCATAGTCAAATCTTAAGTACGACTTAAAATTATTAGATGCACAATCATGACTCAAACCATATCTTGAGCAGGTCTTAATGAAGTCCAGTAAATTGTAGACTTAAGACGGTTGTGAAATAAAGTGCTGTATAGGTTATATAAAATAAAATAGTTATGTATCAATTATATTAAAATTATTTTAAAAATAAACATTTAATCCTATATACGATATTAATTAATTATTTATAATACATTTATTACAAATTTACATAATATTTATTATTTTGAGGTTTTATATTTACATTAAAGGTATTATGGAATTTAATAT